AGCCTGGGCTGTGGCCGGGCGTCCCGGCGTGGCGCCGGCGGTGAGGCCTGGCTGACTCCGCGTGCGGCCGGGCCGAGGGGGTAGGTGCCGGGGGGCTCTGAGGAGAGAAGAGCGCGGTAGCCTACGGTCTGGGCCGTCGGTGGGCTGCAGGTGTGCGGGGCGTGCCCCGAAGGGCCAGGCAGGCAGTAGGGTAGGAAACTTTACAGCCCGTGGGGCTTACTGCTTCAGCTCTTGGCGTGTTTCCCGCAGTCCGCCTTCCCTCAACCAACCTCCATTATGTGCAACTTCCAGGCGGGTAGAGCGGGTGAGGTGAGGTCTCTGCCTTGTAATTCTTGCACCGGGTTATCAGACGGACCGCAGGAGAAATGGGCAGGAAAACAATAGAGTGGGGCTCTGCAGCAAGGTGTATGGGAAGCGAGACCAAGCAATCTGGTTTTAATAGTTTTTACAAAAAGGTGTGTCACTTTCACATTCTATGAGGGGTGAGGTGGGTACGACTATATTATCGAAAGGTTTTAAAGTAAGGATTTATGCTTTTATCTGTAATGAATGCTCTCTATAAATGGACTCAGAAGGCCATTATGGAAGAAGGCTTGTAGGCGGTTCTAGATGGACTAGACAAATGAGCACCACTGGAGAAACTGAGAGGGCTGAAGAATATGAGTAAAAGACTAGATTTGATGGGAAACATGGAAATAGTAGGAGGTTCACAGCGTAAATACACTGTGATAACGAGTGGAGCTGAATTTGAGTGTAAATGAAGATGGTTACCTCTTGTGGACTTTTGAGAAATGACAGTTGTATGCTTACTGCATGAAATGTACCTTTTTTGTCCTATTCCACAGACTTTGTTCATGTTGATTTAGGATTGAGGGGTTCTTGCAGTTAGAAGTTAAGATCCAGAATATTTTCTTTTCATAAAGATCCTGCTGTTGCAAATTGACCAATTCACTGTTGTCAAATAAAGAACACCATTATTTTCTTTTCCTAATATATATTTACATTATTTTTATATAGTCATTTTCACTGTTCTCCATATTTTGTGTTGGCTGTCCTTGTTTGTCCTACACATTTTTCAAAAAAAAAAGAAGGTTTTTTTCATTAGAAAAAGATTAAAAGGTCTATATTTGCAGTTTGCATTTGGAAACTGAAGATACCTCCTTAAGTAATCATAAAGTATTGAGTATTGATTTAAACTTTTTTTTTTCATCACTTGTTGTAAGTACAGCAGGGAATAGTCACTGCATTTTGTGATTTATTTTTTTTATTTTTCCCAAGTCATCATTTGAGTGTGTCCAAATAATTGTTTCTCAAGAGAGTGATCTTGAATGCCTAACAGCAACCTTTAACTTTCAAAAGTTAAGCGGTTGTTCACAGAAATGTTTAATAGCAAAGACTCTCAGCTTCTGTTTTTCCTAAGGGCATCTTAACATGATGTAAAAATTACAGTTCTTAGTAAGTTTCAAGCATCATGCCTTATGTTGAATAAAACTACATTAAGGGTTTCAATCTTCTGGTTAAAATAGACAGCTTTTGGGTAGGAGGTTATTTCCATTTAAATATTTTTCTTATTGGAATACCAAAGAATCAAATAAATGAGCTGGGAGAAAGAGACAGGAGGAGAAATGACATGGAGGGCAAAGAAACAGGAAGAACTTCTGTAGTCATTTTCTTATTTCACACTTACCACTGTAGTGTATGTGTATGCTTTCATTAAACTATCAGATAAAACTTTTTTTTTTCCTCACACCCAGTCTAAAGAATCACAGTCTAGTTAGTTGTTCTTTGAATGGAGGCCATTGCTCACTGCAGCTGATTGTTATGAACCCATGATGACTTCAGGAAAAGGTTTTGGCAGATGGGAGAACAGAAGATGAGATAATTTCTAACTGCTGAGAGTAGCAGAATTGCACATAGTATGTGTCTGCTTCATGTTATTACAAAATAATATAATTAATCCTTGTGTTTCTCTGTTGCACCTCTACTAAATCCTATAATTTACTTCTTTTCAGCTGCTTCGTGGCTAATGTTTTGGTTAAACTGCTACGTTTCCAGAATTATTAGATCAGCTCAGAGCTCATCACTGTGTACATAAAGTCAGAAGTGTGTGTTGCTCCACATATTTTTTTAAAACTGAAGTTCACTTTTTAGTTGTTTTAAACTTTGCTCAGTGTTGTGACATTCTCTCACATTTTTTTTGTGACTGCCTTTAGTACACTACATTATCATCAGTAAATTTTGTCAATCCATTAATCGCACCTTTTTGTAGGTGAGGTATAAGGATGTAAATGAATACAGAACCCAGCATGGAACCCTGCAGGGCTCCACTGGTCACCATTCAGAAAAATGAGCAGCCACTTCTGTTTATTTCCTAGCTTTTAACCATTTATCTATAAGAGGATCTCCCTTCTCATCTCACAGCAGGATGGTTTCTTTAGGACATTTTGGTCAGTAGTCTTTAGAAATCAAATAGATTACGTTAACTGATCTCTGTCTATTGTGACTTTTTCAAAGAATTCCAGTAGATTTGTGAGTAAAGATTTTCCTCTGTAGAGGAGACTTTTTTTTCTGGTACATGTTATATGTGTTTCTGTTAGGGGAGGCAAGGTGAGGATGGGGGGAATTACACTTTCTCTGAGCAAAATACAGCTCTGTGTGTGTGTTCATACCATCTCTAAGAGAATGTTGTCTTTAACAGAGACACTTTTTATTTCATGATTGAAGTTCTTGGCCATACTTATCAAGCTGGAACAATCTTTCACATAGTCTGGAACCAATGTGGGTAGCACTCAGTGTTGGCTAAGTCACTATTCACTCAAAAGTCGGAGCAGAAAGCAGGCTTCATTTGCTTGCCTAGTTTGTGGTGTTGAGTGGGCCCACAGTAGCACGGAGTGCTGTCTGGGATTTTGTAAGCACTGAAACAATCATCACATGCTATAACACACTGTATTCCCAAGAAGAACAGTGACTTAAAATGGTGTAAATAAGCGAGTAAGCAGAATGGAGTTTTCAAACTAACTAGTGATGGCAAAGAACATTATTCATTGCTTTGACTGTATGAGACTTAAGACAGATGGGAAATCAAAGCATATTTCCATGGTGCAGGCTGAACTTATTAACTGTGGGTGTAAATCAAAGAAAGCTTTTGTGTTTACAAATCCTCCTCAATAGTTTTCTCTGTCCTACAGCATCACTTCATTTTTAGCTGGAGTTAACAAGCTGGTTTTCATGCATTAGCTGGTTGCATTCAAGTACTGAACAGTAATAGTGTATGGTGTTTGCACTAAATAGCATGCACTTTACGTGCTCTTTATGTTGCTGGCATGATAGACTCTTATGCAGCAGCACCTGAGAGAGCTGTAGGGCCTTAAAAGCAGTATTTTTTCCACCTTGTTTCCATAGTTCTACCTGATGGTAGAATCAAACAATAACCCTAATGAGAACCTCCTGCATCAGATTTGGTGTAGTACACTTACTGTCTGCGTTCAAGTATTAAAAAGTCTCTTAACTTCCTGCCTAAGATCCTCCAAGCAGGTTGTGCTGTGGTAGAGGTTTGCTGTAACACAGAATGGGTTCAGTTCACAGAATGGTTTTGAGGCCTAGTTCAGCAGTTCTAGTAATTTTGGGTTTGCTTTGTTGTTTGTTGGGTTTGGTTCTTTTTCCTAGAACCATGGGTACCATAATTTTAGAGATCAGACACTCTGCAGAAACAGTACCCTGACCCTTCTATGTGTTACACTCCAGACTACTGTGTGGGAATAACCTCGTCTTGTGGAAGTAAATCACACCAGTTTCCAAATTCCGTTTTTATGAACACTGTTGGAGGGGGGTGGGGGAAAGGGAGAGGATATAAGTAAATTGTGACATGCAAACATGCATGTATGAGTTCCTACTTAAAGTCTGGACTGGATTTTCTGTTAGTTGCCACAGAGTGCCTTTTTCAATTACTTCGCTGTTGATGTTCAGAGAAACCAGTAAACGTGTTGCCAGATAGTAAGGTCATAAAAGCAGCATTGAGGGTTATGTATGTATCAGTAAACATTTAAAAATGTTTGTATAACTTGCAACTTTTTGGCTTGCTCACATTCATCTGAAGAGCTGAAAGTGTATCTATTATAGGAGTATAATCAGTGTAGA